AAAGCTGACTTAAAGAGTGGAATAATAAGAACATTCGTTGTTACACGTTTCCTCTGTTTGCTTTATACAAGTAAGTACAACTTCTCGGAATGCAACAATGACATTGCAAATGTTTATATGTTCAAGGCATAAACATATGTTTATATGTTCAAGGCTAGTTCAGATTCTCATTAAAGCAAACCTCACGACTGATAAACAACCGTGTTTAATTTATAGGAAATGTAACATAGAATATTTTAAACCAACTGTTAAAAAGAACTTAAAAGATATATACCAATAAACGAGGCCTGGCACAGCCTGGTGGTTAGTGCTCTGGCCTCGCAATGTGAAGGGCGCGAATTCGAATCCCCGTCATCGAACAATCTCGCCCTTTCAGTCGTTAGGGTGTTATAACGTGACGGTTGGTGAAAGAGTAGCCCAAACTTTGCGGGCGGGTGGTGTTGACTAACTGTCTTCCTTTTTAGTCTTTTACTGCTAAATTAGGGACTGATAGCGCAGATAGTCCTGGTGTAGCTTTGTTCGAAATTCAAATCAAACCTAACCAATAAACGACAAAAAAAGTTAGCCACATGGCAATGTTTCAGAAAATGTATTGATATTAAATATTGGCAGTTATAATATATATTTGTACGTTGGTAAATAAATAGGTTGTTCTTTAATACATGTATATACGTAATGTTTGGAGCAAAATCGAAACTTACAATTTCAATATCACCTAATATAATGTTTGTTCAAATGATATGTGATATTTAAATCAGACCGATCTAAAAAACCGTAAAACTTAAATTAGCAAAATTAAAAAAAAACTCCAAAAGCTAGGAAACCGCCCAGAACAAGAACTTTTCATCTAAGGCAAAGATTAAAAAAATAACATTCAAAATGTCAAAAATGGATCAGATAGTTTTAAATTATTAGTAGTTTTTTCTCTCAAAAACTCTAATGATATACGAGGTGGTTGCTAAGTAACCAACATGCTTACGTGAGTGGTGCTAACTTTAAAAACGTTAGGTGGTAGCTAGTAATTCTAGCTTTCAGTTTCTTCTCAGGTAAATTACAGCGTTCGAAAATACAGGGCTCTAGAAAGGTAGCTAATATTAATAAAGGATTTAAATAAACAAAACTGTTATCACTCCTCACAGTGAAATTCAGGCTGTCTCACTGCAACGTTTCTGGTATTTCGTTACTATAGAGACATGTTTATGTTCTTCCGCCTCACTACCAAAACCAGCCTGTCAAGAAGGGTCTTGTGAATCTCACCAATATATTGTATGTTAAAAGTAAATTTTTCTTTCTCTTACAGAAATGAAGACCGAAAATATAGATAAATTAATGCATTTCCTGACAGATTTAAGATTAACTGATAAACAGATTGATTCAACTTCGCAATTTGGTGAGAGATCTGCGCAAACGCAGGTGATGATTGCCGTGGTAATGAAAACGTTATTAATTGTCTACATAGTAAAAATAAGAACTAAAGATCTAAAAGATTACTACATTATTGGTCGTTAGTAACGACGGAACAAAAAAAACAGTTGCTAAGTAACAAAGATCTGACATTAAGTCGTTATTTTTATCTGTTTTCTACTCTACTAATATAATGATATTCGTAAAACTGTATCCATTGCAAAGTCATCAACATGCCCGTGAAATTTGTATTAGTTGACTGAGCTCCTACTTTTGGGTAATAAAAGCACTAATGAGATTTTTATTGAATAAAACCCAACTGTAAAATAAGACTTCTCTTGTGTTCGAGAAATATATTATTTTTTTACTGAACAGAATACGTTGGTAAATAAGGAAAATACAAACGCTCTTCTTAGATGTTAAAGTAGTGATGGAAGTGTATTTTCTCTTTAACGTGCACCAGGAAGAACGAAAAACGCGTCAGTGAGGATAAAAAATATGTTGTTATTGATTTTTTAGCGCAAAACTACACAATTGACTGTCTGCAAAGCCACATTGAACTATTCCCTTTGTCCATCGCGGGGACGCGAACACCGGATTTTAGTGCTGTAAGTCCGTACACTTACCGCTGTCCGACTTGGAAATTCTACCACATGATAAGTTTATTTTACAGGGTAATTGTAACTAAATCATCACATTTATAATAACCCTGTAGCCCCCAGTGGAACAGCGGTATGTCTGCGGACTTACAACACTAGAAACCTGGTTTCGATACCCGTGTTGGGCAGAGCACAGATAACCCATTGTGTAGCTTTATGCTTAATTACAAACAAATAAACAAAATAACCCTGTACAAACAAATATATATATGTTATTGTTAGTATATTAAAAACATAATGCGTTTTTAGTTTCTAAGTTCTAAATGCTGTGAAACAGAGAGTTTAATTCGTTTTAATGATATTTTGAATGTCTTAATGATAGTTACAACAATATCAACTACTTTTATGTTTTAAAAAAAACGGTTTCATCTCCTATATTTATTGTACTTACTTCGACGTTACTGATGACAAGCCGCATTTTCCAAAATTGGTCTAACCATTTATGAATATTAATTACACATCTGCGTGAAAATTAGCAATGATATCATTTTATTCTTGCTCACTTACAATTACATTTATCGATTCCATAAGTGAAACCCATTAATTATTATCTTCATTATTGTTAAATCAGTTTGTTCCAACAATACTTTTAAATGTGCTTGTCAGTATTGTATCATAGTCTAGTTATCTGATGTTATAACTTATTGATATCGTTGTTCCAATAATTTCATTGTATTTCAGTTTGGTTATAGATATGTCAAGGTATGTACAACGCAAAATACTGTTACCAATATACATAGATTGGAAAGCATACAATTGAAAGAAGCACCGAATCAACGCTTAGTACAACGGAAGCTACTAAAAAGAAATATATAGTTTAATTATTATTTGGACATTTTAGTGACTGTGCTTACTGAAAAGTTTATCTCTGTAATTATTATTATATACTGTGTATCTATTAAATATATTAATTCACATTGCTGAACCATAATGACAACCGCAAGGAAATACTTCACATATATTATATTGAGTTTAAAGTACTTAACAAATTAGAAATCTCTACAGAAAAACATGTTGCAACGACGATTTCTTAATTAGAATTTTTTCTTGTTCATACGGGCGTCTATGTTCTCTACATGATTTAATTAGTTTGATTTTTTAATATTTTAATTTTGAGAATCTCAAATACGCCTCCTTCTTCATAACAACGGTAATTCGAATCATGATGTTGCTTTGGTAACAAAAATTCATTACCTTTTTTTTCACTCGGTCAGTTCTAGCTATGAGACATTATTCGCCTCCTATACATTCTTCCAGTTTTGGTACTCTAGTTTTCAATAATGATAAACATGTTGTACTTGAACAAAGCTTGTTTATTTCATTGTGTCATAATTTTGTCCTCTTCTGATGGAAAATTAAGAGCATACACATCTTCATTGGTTTAACATGAATCTTGATAGAATCTTAATCTGTGTTTATTTTGCTGTTTTCCTTCGCACTTTACACGATGAAATAAATGACATCTAGTCTATTCCTCTTACTTCTAGTATATATTTGTATGCTGCCATCCGTAGTGGAGAAATTAATACCACCTATCCAGCGGGTTTCATATCATGCCATATGATGTTAGGATTCATATGTTTTCAACCTAATAACCTTCCGGGATGATACCTGTTTCGAACTTTCGTGATGCGATTACCATCTGCTATCCGTTACTCTCTTATTAAAATTACAGAAAAGAGCTCCGTTCACGATTAACCATGTCTTCATATATGTAAGAACGCAGTGGTCCCGCATGTCTTACTAGAAGTCAATAGGTCATGAAATGACATTTGAGATTCATCACTACAATAAACATCAGTTACCTGACTTTCAGTTCTCATTTTAATACTGTTATTGTTACTGCTGTTTTCTTAGTGTAAGGCTACACAATGAGCCTTCCACCGAGGGGAATCGAACCCCTGATTTTAGTATTGTAGGCCCGTAAAATTACAGCTGATCTACCAGAAAACATTAATATTACTTATTTAAATATTTCAAAGTTCTTCCTTAAATTAACCCGAGGAAAGAATATTTGTAGCATGAGAATGTGATCTGCTCTTTTTTCAGGAATTGTCTGAGAGCTATTGACCTGAAAGTTTCAGGCTCCTCTGCCAGTCGGACGCATGGCACTGCTATAGCTATGTTGCCAGTTCAGTGAACTGAGACTCTCCTTTCTACACATTGGCCTCTACAACATAATAGAAAAACTCGAAACTGCAAGTTTCACGCAAACGTGCGCTCTTGGGTCTTCGAAAGCGCAATAAAATATGAAATCATAAAATATAAACGTGGCGACGGCGTTTCAATAAAAACCTGAAAATTTTTAACGTTATCTTTAACAGTTTTCGCTCATTGTTTGAACAAAATATAACTCCTAATCCTTCAGACACTTAGAAAGTGACTTAGGTTTGTTTGGAAAGCTTTTATCGGTAATCTTAAACCTTCGTCTTTCTTCTTCTTATCCTACATAGGTTCCAACAAACATCTTAGTGTCATTCCTGGCAGGATGATGAGAAGCTGTTCCCATGACAACACTGGCAACGAAGGTAAAAAAAATAAATGACAAGCGTAACATAATATGTATTATCTTTCAAACTATTAAATATGGGAATTATTTTAAGTTATTTAAATTTAAGTGAAACAAGTGGTCGCTAAAATGCATATGAGAATAATATTAAGATGCTCCTCGGTGACAGGTTCAGTTGGTATGTAAACAATGCTCTATTAATTTCATTTAATTAAAATCACGTTAAAATTTTGATTGCAGTAGTGAAAACTTTTTGATACAATGAATCATTGAGATGTTTCTCTTATTCGGTATTTAAAAAGAATATTTAGGTCTCTGTTTCCAGGTTATATACAGATTAAAAATAGAAAGAAAATAAGTGAAATGTCGCGCTAACATTTATCTGTTAATGTAAACACACATTGAAAGTAGCAAAAAGTAGCTTTTTTCTAATTCAGGTTTCCTTTTTGGTTTCACATTTGTAGTGTTTTATTATTGTTTATTTGTTGAGAAACAAGGTCTTCTTTAAATCTGTTAGAACAGGTTTAAATTTTCATAAGTAACCAAAGCTAGAAAATCATTAGTTCAGTAACACTTACCAGGTTATTGTTAAACAGTTAAGACCGTAAAGTGTAGTGTTATGTAGCTAATTCATTGAACTATTACATTAGATGTGAAGAAATTATATCGTGCTATAATATAATTATTAACAAAAATAAAAAATGGAAGATTAATAATAAATTTTTAAGGGCTTAACATGTTGTAATGGACTAGAAGAGTTGTTTTATCACAAAGCTACATAATGGGCTATCTGCGCTTTGTCAACCTAGAAGAATCTAACACCGGATTTTAGTATTTTAATCCCGTAAACAGAATTAATTGGCCATTCACACCTGTAGATGAAACACCTATATAGCCCTCCAGTGGCACGGCGGTATGTCTGCGGAGTTACAACGTTAGAAACCAGGTTTCTATACCCGTGGTGGGCAGAGCACAGATAGCCCATTGTATAGCTTTGTGCTTAATAACAAACAAACAAACGAAACGCCTATAAATTGTGGAGGTATGTGCAAATGTATGTATAAATGTTTGGAAAAACACTCAGTTTTTACGTATATTAGACTTTTCAATAGTTTGTTGAACTGTAAGTATTCATATCGTAAAACATTTATGTATGATCTTAATACCAGAAATAAACGACCTTATAATACCAAGTTCTTGTTTTTATTTAATTGGACATTCAAAGTTTTGCTTTACAGCTTCTTCAGGAGGGTTCCACTAAAACACAAACCGTAACTGACAATGGAACGCTTCTGAAGAAGCTGTAAAGCGAAACGTTGAGTGTCCAATTAAAGGAAAACAGCAATTTGGTGTTATAAGGTCATTTGTTTCTAGTATTGAAACGCCTTCTATGCAACAATAAGCACTGCAGAAATTAAATAATGAATTTATGAATGATTATTGAATATGATAAGTTACTTATTTTCCAACAATTAGTAACATTTTCTCTTTAAAACTTGACTAGGTTTTAATATCCTTCATCTTTGGCGATTATTTCATGCATTTTTTGTGTGATCGTGTATTCAAAACAACTGAACTTTTGGCAGATTTGAATTCAGAAAAAGTAGCAGATTTTCTCCATGACAATCCAGATTTTATTGAAGAATACGTCATCAACAATGTCGAATTGGAACTTCTAGAAAGATGGGTAATCAGAGCTACTCAAAAAGCCCGCAAGAGGGCTCAGTCCGTGGAAGTAAACGGTAGCGTGATGTTTTTTTTCTTTGACAGTTTTTGTTAAAAAAGAGTATTGTAATAATATATATATATATATATATTAGTAATAAGATTGTTTTTATTAAACTTTTGTTTATTTTTAAAATTTGTTTTTTGGTAAAACATCTTGAAAAATATTCAGTACCAATGCTATATTTCTGGTTGTTACATACTTTGTTTTGTTTAATTTACTGATGTCATTAACGTTCTTGAAATCTAACAAAATCTTTAGCTAAGAAAGCACATCGTCATATCGTTGGACTTTTGGCACATATTTATCAGTGTCTAAGTGCCTCAGTGTTTGTTTGTGTTTTTAACGCAAAGCTACACAGTAGGCTATTTACGCTCTGTCCACAGCAGGAAATCGAACACTGGATTTTAGTTATAAGTCCGTAAACTTACCGCTTACTGTTTGTGGGTGTAGATCAGTAAACTGGATTTGTAATAAGAAACTAGTTTATTGCAAAACTTAAATCTATCAACCTTCTATCGGCTTTTAGTTCTCCAAATTACATATAAATCACTTTTTCTTTAGGCTTTTCAATGTGATATGATGATAGAAAACATTATTCGGTCACCAAGTTGAGACTCGTCATATTTTTCAGTGAATGCTATAAAGAAAATAGGATCAACGCTCTGAGTCTCGTCACATCACAAAGTAGTGTTACTACACATTACAAGATAAACAGTTTTGTGTCAAAATGGTTAATGGTACGTTATAATGGAAGGGTGTGTGTTTGTTTTTAGAGCAAATCCACATTTGGCTATCTGCTGTGTCTACAGCGAGGAATGGAACCCTGGATTTACAATGGAAGGAATGTTACATCATTCCTAACCATGGATGAATCGAAAATGTAGACGCTTGTTTAAAATGCACAAATTAGAATATTTGAGAAATTCATATGTACAAAGCCTTAAGTAAGTCGTTTTAATACCACCAGCCGACGATTAGGGCACGTGCTTGTGGCAGGACAATATAGAATTCATAGAAATATAATAGAATGTGATCCACTGTCAAAAAGCATCAGCGAAAATACAAAACTATCAAATAAGGTAACATCGCAAAACACTGAAATAGAAAAACATTTCTAATTTGCAATATTTTCGAGAAGATAAACTATTTGTTTTACCACCAAGGTGTTTCAAAATCTGAAAACTCGACCTACTGTTGTTACCTTACTATGACGATTAGAAAGGTAAGTATAGTGAGCGCAAAGTTCTCTTTGTACGACACTGTTAATATTTTAGTTCAATTTGAGTTTAGAAAGCTGTTGCTATGTTCTGGTGGACCGTGTTAATATGAATATCATTCACTGTAAGAAAGGTTTGTTTACTAATAAGCACAAATCTTTATAACGGTTTATCTATACTGTGCGCATTGAAATTATCGAAATCTTATGTTTAGCGTGATAAGTCCTCAGGCTTACCACTGATCACCGGTGGCAGGGTGGGGGGGGGGGGAACTATGAGAGAGAAACATTACTTACATCGCAATTATCGAAATCTTATGTTTAGCGTGATAAGTCCTCAGGCTTACCACTGATCACCGGTGGGAGGTGGGGGGCGGACTATGAGAGATAAACATTACTTACATCGCGATTATCGAAATCTTATGTTTAACGTGATAAACTCTCAGATTTACCACTGACTTCCGGTTGGGTGGGGGTAGGCGTGGCACTGAGAGAGAGACATTACTTAGCAATGATCCTTTTATACACTTGTTGCAATAGGGGTGACTATAATGCAGCCACTGCAGTGCTTGTACAAATACTCGTGTGACGCTCATTCTGTACGGCTAAGAACAAATACTGTGTTCACTCTGTACGGCTAAGAACAATCTTTATCACTAATATTATGAGAGATAGACAGATAAATAAATAACAGATAATCAGGGAAGAAAATAGTTAGCCTTCCAATACCAAATTTCCTGAAGAATATTTACTTGCTATCGTGTTGGTTTAGGTTTTACTGAGTTTGAAACGTCGAGTCTCTTCCATCTTCCCTCATCGAGTTCCGAAAACTGTGTAAAATAAAAACAAAACTTAAAAAGGATTTGCAGCAAAGACGAAAAATGCGAAATTTATCTTAATACTTAGGATATTTGCTGTTCATTTTACGTTTCGACGCTGTGTTACATAATGGAGTTAAAGGAACGGAATACGCTATGGAAAATTACACCATTTGAAGAACATTAATAAAAACAACTCTTATTGTACATATGTTAGTTTATAACATAGATAACCGAACATCTTATAACGCGTTGGTAAAGAATAGTCCAAGAGTTGGCGGTTGGTGGCGTTGATAGCTGCCTTCCCTCTGATCTGTCGTTTCTAAATTAGGGACGGCTAGCGCAAATAGCCCTAGAGTAGCTTTGCGCGAAATTCAGTAAGATAAACAAACATTCATAATTAACTAGCTCTTACAAAATCGTATATATATACATATATATCGTATAGCATCACGGACAAAAATACGCTAGTGCTTTAAATAACTGGCATATTAATTCAATGAATTATTTTTTGTTTTATAACTGTTAAAAAATGGATATTGTATTACTAGCAATTAACTAAAATTGACATATTCATTTTATGTTAGGACAGCCTCAAAGAAAAACAAGTCTTTCTCGTTGGAAAGTGAGTTATGTGTTTTTTGTTTTACATTTCGAATTACACTAGTAACGCATAAATGTTATGATAAATTTTCAGTTCGTTTCAATGTTTCAAGTTGCATGAAAATTTATGTTTCATAACACTTTAAAGATGATATTTCATCATATATTTGCTGCAGTTTCTGATAAGTCTGATTTTGTGCAGTCTAATTATTTACAAATTAAAAATACGCTACAAAATTACCCAAAACCTATTATCTTCACTATTCATTCACTGTCGTTTTTACCTCATGTTCCTTTTAGTCGATGCACACGTTCCCTAACGGACTTAAATTCTGCTTATTGAGAACAGAATAAACTTTAAAACGAGTTTTCACAAATGACCTATCTGTAGAATAGAATGCACTTGCTTAGAGTACGATTAGGCCAAAAATTCAAATATATTTTGTATTTTATGTCTTTCAGTTTTGTGTCCATGCTGACAAAAGAAAAATGTTACAGGAATTAACAACAAGTCTTTACACGAATCCTAATAAAGGACAAGTTTTGTCTGAGCTTGTGGCCACCATCGCTTCTGCTGTGAATGCAGAGTGTTGGAATTTGTACTTATATGACAAAACAACACAGGTAAGAAATAATAGGTATTGAATCATAACAACTGCATCTTTTTATTCTTATCTATTAAAGTATTTTACAGCTCCAAAGTTTCCTTGCGTGAGTTAAAATACATCCTATTTTACTTTTTCTACATTATTTAGATATAGGGATTAGTAGTTACGGGATTATTTAACAGGATTACAGAGGATAAAGTACGATTAATTTAAATGATTTTAAATAGGCAAATTAGCGAATCATATAAGGCCTCAGTGAAACGGCATGTATCAGAACTACATTTTGACATTGTTTGGCGATTCGTAGGCAGTGTGATGACACTTAAAATTTATTGCTTTTGGGAAAAGTATGTAAAAGCCTTTTCAACACAAAAGATTCATAAGCTCAGATAATTTCGGATTCGGGATTTAGAATATCCAAGATGAGGATATCCTTTATACTTAATGTCATTGTAAAACTAATGAATATAGATTAAGCAGGGCACCAGGACCATCCAGAAAGAGACCTAAAACAAGTCGTACCACAGCCGTGGTAAGCAAAGTGCGATATCTTGTAGCAGGTGAGAATCCCTTAAAACAAAGGTCAATATCAAGGTTTTTTACGTGTGTCAAGCAGCTGTACGTAACATAATCAAGAAAGATTTCTGGAAAAGGGACACACACTTCATGTGTACGCAAGCTGCTTCCAAGACAAATTTCTTCAACCATGACATATCTGAAGAAACTAGAGAATTAAATGTATGTTCATGGTAATCCATACAAATATATATACTGGTCAAGTCACTGGATGCAGCACCTATGGACTGTATACTAGATGGATTATGGAGAGCTAACAGAGAGGAATGGTATGAGTTGCAACATGAGTGCGTTACGACAGAGTGTGGAGTTAAAACTGACGTCTCAAAGACCTCATTACATTTTTATGTCTGGGTAAAAGGAATAATAATGTCAAGAAGAAAGATATTTAAATTGAAAAGTTAGACAGGTTCTGTGGGAAATATATAAATCTACATATTACAAACGTTTTACAGGGGCATATGTAACAAACTGTAATCTCTAGGCATTTTAGATGGAGGAAATATTAACCTTCGCGTTAGTCAAGGAAATCGATTACAACTAGAAGGGGCGGGGCACAACCCTTACCGAAAATGATTTAATAGTCAAGAAATGTTTCATCGCCTCTTATTTTCCAGCACCTGAAGCTTACTTATGTAACGTTCGCCGACCTCTAAAAGACGCGTGAATTACCTGCACTAGCTGTTCTTAATTTTCAATCTCATATACAACAAGGAAGGCAGCTGGTCAATAACACCCACTTGGGCTGCTATTATCTTACCGAATAGGTATTTGACCGTCACCTTTATTGCGCACTCACGACCAAATTGAGAAGCGCGATTATCATTATTATTATTATTTGCGATAACGAGATGTACACGTTGGACCCGCAGATCCATAGTCCGACACGCTTACCACTGGACCACGCTCGGTCATTTGTTGAATAACCTAGACATTTGTATTACAATAAACGATGTGTCTCGTGGATTTGAACTTGAAAAATAGAAAACAAAAAAAAAACAAACAAACTTATATTCAAGAAAACATTACAAGGTGTACATGTTTTATTAATTGCATTTCCACCATGTATACATGGAATAGACTACTGGATAATATAAGAAAAGAAACCAGAATATTAGAAAATTGTAGGTCTATTTTATGGCCGCTGGATCCAAAGAATACTAATATGCAATATTTTGCTATTTTTTGGTTTAATTCAACTTTTTTTGCTTTAATCTTAATTCGCACAGCAAAGAAATTGAAATTAGTTCAATGTCAGGCCTACTATGGCGCTCCATACTCATTGGATTCGAATCCCTTCATCGAACATACTCGTCCTTTCAGCTGTGAAGGCGTTATAAATCACGCAATCCCGCTTTTCGTCAATAAAATGAAGTCCAAGAGTTGACGGTTGATGTTGTTGACTATCTCCCTTCCCTCTATTTTATCACTTCCAAATAAGGTACAGCTAGTGCCCTTGAGTAGCGTTGTTCGAAATTCAACAAACAAACAAACTAGTTTTGTGCCGCCCTCTATGACTTGTCTTAATCTGGTGATGAGTGACGTATGTGTTCTGTGACTGGACCTCAGTAAAAGTTAGAAACTGTGTCATATTAGTGTAGAGGGATCAGTAGCAGGACATGGCAAACATTAGATAAATTTCAGGAAAACGTAATGAAGGAAGGAATAGATTTATTGTGCTCAAACGTTGTGCGAAGTTTTGGATCATTCAAAAATAGTGTTTTTCTGAAGTTATGAATTGTCGAGATTAGTTTAAACTCATACGAGGTGTAAATAATTGAGAGACGTCCAATAACAATGTCAAGTTACAACCAACAAATGTCCAAAAATCATATTGAGGATGTGGACAACCAGACATACTTCTGAAAACATTCCCTGCGAAATATGATATATTTTCTACTTCATTCCGTGTATGAACGTTTAAGAGGTGAAGAAGTAGCATAGTTAACCAGACATACTTCTGAAAACATTCCCTGTGAAATATGATATATTTTCTACTTCATTCCGTGTATGAACGTTTAAGAGGGGAAGAAGTACCATAGTTAACCAGACATACTTCTGAAAACATTCTCTGTGAAACACGATGCTTTTACTACTTCATTCAATGAGTGAGCATTTTAGATGCAGAAAAAGTGTCTTACTAGTAACGTCTCAGATAGTACAGCTTCTTCGCTTGGAACACAACATGTACCAAGTTCGATACTCAAAGACTAACCAATCGATGGTTTTCGGTCTTTACATTTTGTTTTAGAATTTCCCATGAATTTTCCAGTTCCCAATTTTAAAGTGAAAATCAGTGGAAATGAAGATGAGTACTAATATTTGTCACCTGTAAGAAAACTTTCTTAAACCAGAAAAGTTACTCTAAACTAGCTTAACGTTTAATGTTTATACAAAACAGTCAGTCTCTTCCCTATTTAAAGGTTTCGGTATCTTTTAAACATGCATAAACAATTTCCTTTAGAATACCATCAAAAACCCTCAAGCTCTTCTTATCGGTTTTAAGCAATATTGTGGATCAAACTAAATTAAAGCCAAATTTGGGTTCAAATCGGTTACAACTGAGACTAAGCATGGTCTAGTAATTAGCATACTCGGACAACGAATCTGAGAATTCGTGATTCGCGTCCGGTTGCAGCAACAACGGACATTGGAACTATAGGCATACTATAAGAGTAATGGCAAATCCCAAAATTCAGACTATCTACCTCTAGTTTATAGTTCAAAATTAGAGATGGCTAAACCAGTTTTGCGTAAAAATTCTTGAAAAAAAAGCTATTTTGTGCTACTCCTTTCATCTTTGTTCAACGTTTCATGGGTCGTTCGTCGACCTTGTATTATAGGTGTGTGATTTGCATTTTGATTTTACCGTAAATTAAATTCAATCTTTTAGTTTAAATCGTGTGGAATTGTAAGACAGGCAAACAAACATATGATTAACGGCGATAAAATATATCGTTTTTATTTTAGAAAGCAGAAATTACGTAGTGAAAATTGGTAAAAAAAAATCAAGTACTCTAGACACATCGACCTGATGTTGCGAACATATTTTACGTGAGGCCACATTAAGAATGTTAGTTGTCTGAAAATTTCCATCTAGACTGTCTTGGAAGACACTAAAAATATGGAAACCACATAATGCTACATCAGGATTATATGCATAATGAGGAGTTTTCTCAGTTGTAAAATTTACAGCACAAGCTATACACCACAAGCCTGGTATTAATATATTTCATGGGGAACATCATTCATCACTAAGAAAATATTGGATTGGCTGATTAACATGGCCATTCATCGAGTTTTCGTATATTCTGTGAAAGGGAAAACAATTCCATTTAACTCTTATTGTAGAATAGAACACAAAGAATTCACTGTACAGAAAGATACTTCGTTGTAGTTTTGATCAAAGGCTCTACATTTAAAACAGTGCTAGTGACGTCTATCTTAACAGTTGCACCCATCATTCCTTACAGTAAACCAAACATTGATGTCTTTTCTATTTTATTATAACTAAAATTTTATTTAATATATAAACATTTTTTTGACAAATAATTACATTTATTTTCTTAGTGTAATTTTATAACGTTTTGTCAAATAGAAATATTTTTTGACTCGCTTATAGAGTATACAATCGATTATAACTTACATCTCTTACATCTGGTTGTATATCTTCTTATACCATTCTGTGATGAAACGTTAGGTGTAAAGTGTGTCTTTGCCTTTTATGTACAAGTGGAGGTTCTAGAAATAGATACGTTTTCATAGTTGATAGTACTTTTATTCTATTTTAAAGTGAAGTCTAAATAAATACACATCACATCGAATACACGTGGCTGAAAGTGATTTCACTAGAATTATCATCATGAACTAGATATTGAGAAAGTAGAGAGGTCAACGAACAAAACTCAATGTCTATTCTGTATGTTGCAGTCAAGCATAAGGTGGAAGTAGTCTCCTGGGGAAGTGTATACATAGTACCTCTGGTTCCTTACACCATTCAACCGAGCAAGGCCCAATGGTTAGTGTGCTGGACTGTAAATCTGTGGTTCTGTTGTTCACTTCCCGTTACCACAAAAAAATAAAAATAGTGCTCGCAGTTGGGACCGTGGTTGAGCTACTCTAATGACGGTCAAATCCAACTATCTAGGCTGATAAGAATTATCGCCGGGTGGTGATGAATAGAAGCTTTTTCTCTAGTCTATCACTTCAGAATTATGAACGACTAATGTAAGTAGTCCTCGTGTAGCTTTGTGTGAGATTCAACAAAATAAAACAATTCCCGTACCATCTTTACAAAGAATGTTAGAATATAGAGGATGGAACAACACCAATTGATCTGTTGTACCACTCTTCCAACACCAATTGATCTGTTGTACTACTTTTCCAACATCAATTGATCTGTTTTACCACTCTTCAAACACCAATTGATCTATTATACCGGCCCGGCGGGTTCGAATCCCCGTCACGCCAAACATGCTCGCCCTTTCAGCCATGGGGCGTTATAATGTGACGGTCAATCCCAATATTCGTTGGTAAAAGAGTAGCCCAAGAGTTGGCGGTGGGTGGTGATCACTAGCTGCCTTCCCTCTAGT